GATGCTAGTAATAGGGGAAACAGTGTACAGGGCACAGGGGGTATACAGGAAATCTCTGTACTAACTACTCAATTTTTCTGTCAATCTAAAACTGTTCTAAAAATGAAGTCTATATGTATAAAAAAATTAAGCACTAGCATCAGCAAAATGCAAATTAAAACCATCACGACATACCACTAGATTTCATTTGAATGGCCAAAGTTATAAAGACTGACAATACCAAGTGCTGTCAGGATGTAGAACAAATGGAAATCTCATACATTGCTGACAGGAACATAAAATGGTACAACCACTTTGGAAAACAATTTGGCAGTTTCTTATAAACTTCTGTACCTCGTATAACCCAGAAATTCTACTTCTAGCTACTTACCTAAGAGAAATGAAAATATATACCCAACTCAAACACTTATACACAAGTGTTCACAGAAGCTTTATTTATAATAGCCAAAAAGTGTGCTTTAATCTCTCTCTTTAATTACTTTCATTAATACTCTGCTTCACTCAACAGTACCCCTGAACTGCTGCTTCAGGAGAAGGAAGGAATGTCGTGTCCACAGTGAGGAAGCAGTCCTGCCAGAGCAGGGGGTGTCCGCAGGAGCTGAGAGGGATTTTAGAAGGTAGATTGGAGGGTATACTGTTGAGGAGAATGTAAGCCTTCTGCAGTGTTGGAGAGGGGCTCTGTAGTAGTTTGCTAGGGCTGCCATAACAAAGTACTACAGACTGGATGGTTGAAACAACAGAAATTGATTGTTTCACGGTTCTGGAGGCTGGAAGTCTGAAATCAGGGAGTTGGCAGGGTTGGTCCCTTCTGAGGGCTGTGAGGGGAGGATCTGTTCCGGGCCTCTCTCCTTGGTTTGTAGATGGCTGTCTTCTCACTGTGTCTCTTCACAACCTCTGTATGTTTCTGTGTCCAAATTTTCCCTTTTTATAAGGATACCAGTCATATTGGATTAGGGCCCACCCTAATGATTTCATTTTAGTTTGATTACCTCAGCAAAGACCTATCTCCAAATAAAGTCACATTCTGAGGTACTGGGGGTCAGGACTTCAACATATGAGTTTTGGGGGATAAAATTCAACCCATAACAGGCTTGAAGCATTTTCTTTTTATGGTCATGTAAAGGGTGGTCCCAGATATTGTAAAAGTGATCCCAGGACTCTGGTGAACTTGAGGACATGTGGGTTAGAGGACTTGGGGACTTGAGGACATCTTGGCTTCAGATTAACCAGACCTCAGAGCTGTGTGAGAGCCTGCCTTGCCCCTTTGGAATATTGAACCCAACTCAAATTTGAGTTTGATCTCTCAAATAAATATTGATGTTTCACTATTGCTGTTTAAGTCTCAGAGAAAGGAAAGGGAACTTAGGTTTTCTGATGAGGGTTTATTCTGCTTGATGCTCTTTTTTTTCCAATTTTTTTTATTGCAGTAAAATACACACAACATAAAATTAACATCTTAACCATTTTTAACTGTACAGTTTAGTGGTGTTAAGCACATTCATATTGTTGCACAGCCATCACTACCATCCATCTCCAGATCTCTTTTCATCTTGCAAGACTGAAAACATGTACCCATTAAACAATGACTCCTCGTGGCTTCCTCTCCCAAGCCCCTGGCGATCACCATTTTACTTTCTTTCTTTTTTTCATCTCCCCTTTTCCCCCACCAACCTCGGTAACCACCATTCTACTCCATTACTATGAATTCAGTGTGTTTTGTTTTTGTTTTTTTCAGATTCCACATATAGGTGAGATCATGCAATATCTATCTTTCTGTGTCTGGCTCATTTTGCTTAGCATTACGTCCTCTAGGTTCATGCATGTTGTCACAAATGTCAGAATTTCTTTTTTTTTAAAGGCTGAATAATATACATATATACATATATACCGTATTTTCTTTATCCATTTATCTGTCAATGGACATTTAGGTTGTTTCCATATCTTGGCTATTGTGAATAACGCTGCAGTGAACACGGGAGTGCCCGTATCTCTTCAAGATAGTGAGTTCATTTCCTTTGGAGAAATACCCAAGAGTGGGATTGCTTGATGCTCTCTATGTAAGTTGGTTGTCTGAACAACACTAACAATGTAAATGTTGTCCCTTCTTACAGTTTAGGAAGATGAAGCTCAGCGAGATTAAGCAGCTTGCCCAGACTGTGCAACCTGTTACTGAGTTTCAGATAATGTGACAGAGATTGGAACCCAGGCCTCTCTGACTCCAGTGTCCATGCTCCTTCCAAAACATTGAACTACTTCACACACAAACAAAAGTGTGTAAATGAGACAAATTCTAAAATTATTCCTCCCAATTTATGTATATAAAGCTGTGTTTATCTGATATAATCCAGGATGTATATTCTGAACAGCCAGTTTAGTAAAGATGGCATTAGAAAAGAGTTCTAGGTAACTCCAAGAACTTTGAAACTCAATGGAAAAAAAATAATGTGTATTACCTGAACCTATATCTCACAGTTGTAGGCACTTATGTGATTTACCTGTCAAGAGAAAGAAACAAAGGAAACATATTTCACGTGCTGGAAAAAAAACAGCACTCAGGGGCTACTGGGGCGTACACGAGACACCCTCTCCTCAAGAACCTCAGGACCCCCCTCACTCTTTGATATGAACAATGGAAGTTTCCTCAGTCTTCAGTGCAATGAAATGCAGCATGGAGCTCCCTACTATGGATCAGATTGCTGTGCCAGCCTCTTTACCCAGCCAGGTGGCTGAAATGCAACTTGGTGGAGAGAGCGAAATAAGCCATTTATGCCGTGACATGGCACTAGGAATCATGGATAGAACACTGTAACTTGGTGTTATTAAAAGAGATAATTATGTAGACTGTAGTGACATATTTCTTATCAACATAGCATCAGATTTAATTTCACTAATCTAAGCTTCTTGGAGGGGCAAGAGAATAGCTTTGCAGTAGCTCCCCTTCATGGTGCTGTTCAGAAATAACAATGGTCCAGGCCCCATCTCCACGATGAAGGGAGCTCCGTGGACAGGAGCACAGCACTAACGAGCCCGGGGTCAAGAGGTCATTCCTCATTCGAGGGGCCTTTAGCCTCCCTCTGCTCCTGGGGACAGATGGGGCCCTAGCCTCAGTCCCCTTTCATCTCACATGTTGGGGTTCTTGGCCACAAGAGGACCAATTGAAAATAATTTTCAGTGACTTGGTGAATAAACTCTTTCACTGAAGATGATTTTGCATTGCTAGATGTATTTTGAACTGCAAATCTTCCTTGATGAGATTTGCGTAAATTAAGGATCATTTGACAGATTTTCATTTGCGTCCCTGCTTTCAAAGGCCTCCTATACGCTTCCAGTGGAATGACAGAATCCTGATTCAGTCCATCACTTATTTCTATTGTTGTTGAACTCTATAAAGACATTAGGATTTACTTGCTTATCCGAAGAACCTTGCAGAACATCTAGTTGTTATGATTTAATATGTCAGTGTATCAGGAAACTTTATTCCTGAGTGCACTTTGATGGAACGTGGATTTCATGTTGACTGTAGGGTTGTACTACCTCTGAGAAGATATGGGCACATGCCCACTCGGAAATAGTTTGTCCTTTTAAATATTTTCTTTGTATTCAAAGGAGCCCAGGAAAGGTTACGTGAAGTCCAAGCATCACGGGAGTTTTCCTGGTCTACTTTCGAGGAGTCACGGAGAATCCCACCCGCACTTTAGATGCCATCTGAGCTCTGCACATCTTTGAGAAATGATGCATGAGGTAGAAAAATTATTTTTAAAATGTTTAAAAATAAACATGACTATTCAAATGTTTAACTGTTCAAACCAAATATTTTGCTATTCAAATTTATTCAAGAATCATGGAAGTCTGGAAATATATCATAAATTACATTTTCAAATTTCACATCAGGAAAAATTAGACGAAACCAATTAGGGAGGGAAGTTACACAAAGAAAGATTAAATTCTACTGTCTTCTAAGATTTGCAAAAATATTTTTAACTGACCTTCTAAAATTTAGCAAGTTTCCATTATAAAATAGAAAATTTTCCTTCATTCCACAAAACAATGGTCTGGGATTCAGAAATGAACTGTATCCTGGCTTGTAATGAAGATGAAATTGCTCATTATCTGCTATTTTAATAAATACTAAAAATAAAATAAACTTATTTTATTGAATCTGCCATTATCAAGGAAAAATAGTAAGAAAGTTCTAAATAATGTGCAGTAGATTTAATTTTAAACTATGGAGAATTAGAGTTATAGGGTGATTTTTAGTGAGTAAGAGCCCAAATTCTGGCTTTGGAGGAACAGCCCTGCAGGCAAGGTGCACAGCCCCAGGGGGGATGCACAGGGCCAGGGCTTTCCTCTGCATCATTCTGTTCTTTTGTGAATTTTGAAATGCTCAACAGGCGTTAATGAATTATTCTTACCTAAGAACTACACATTGTTTTAAAATCTAATTTTCAGAATCCCAAACGAAGACCAAGACTAAAGATTAAGACTCTGCCCAAGGGCTTAAGCGAGAGGTGGCAGATCAGTCACTGATTAAGTGATTAAAACCACTGTTTAATTGGCAGTCAAATTCTAATAATTTAAGTGTCAAGGAAAAGGCACTTTACTTAAAATCCTTACAGACTTGTCACATCTAAAACAAAACCAAATTTTTAAATGTTATCCTCTCCATCTGGCTGGGTTTCTGGGTGTTTTTTGAAATGGTCTTATACTGATATTTAACTATTCTGAATATTTGACACCCAGGCTTTGTAAAAAATTGTGATTTTTATCAAAGAAGAGGCAATTAAGCGCTGTCATCTGGACTCCCGGATGGATCAGCGGCCTTATCACACAAGAATCATCCCGCGGCAACTGCCGGCCTTTCCAGCCGGGAAACAGATAACAGAAACCGTCCTGCGTGAGGCACAACAGTTTAACGTGATTAGAAATCAGGCCAACTCGGGCTTCTCTTGAGCTGTACTCCCCCACAGGCTGAATTATAGCTTTCCTACCAGGCCCACGGCGCTGAATGATGTCATGGGATCTGCAGTTCAGCGAGATGAAAGGGATAAAGCAGAACCCGCTGGCACTAGGCAAGGCTTCCAACACACAATCCACAACACAGCTTGAGAACCGACAAAGCTACGGATCCAGCCACTCAGCCCAAGCTTGGGAGAACCACCGGTATTGCCTCGTTGGAAAAAAAAAAAGGAGGAAAACAGCGTGATCGTGTTAAACAAAAGAATTTGTGGACGAGAAGGCGGGAGGGTGACTACCTGCTGAAAGGGAACTTTCTTGATATCCGTGCATATATATAAACTTAGCCCTGCCTTTGATGTTTGCAACTGATCACCGATCAGATTACCGCATTTCGTCTCCCTGCTCGTCTGTCTTTGATCTGCATGGTTAATTTTATTTTCTTGGATTTGAAGTTTCGCCTGGGCTTGTGCTGACATACATTTTTGGGAAGGTAGAAGCATTTGGCATAGAAGTGCTGCCAAGGAGAAACTAAGTTGCCGAAAGGGTGAGTACTGGAAAGAGCTCAGCACGTTGCAGGTACAGCATTTTGTGTTTTGTTGTAGCCTTCACTTCACTTTTCCTGTATGTTCTAAGAAAAAGATGGTTTTAATCAATTAAAAACAAGCATTTCTATACTTGAATACTAGTTTATGCTACATGTATGTATCAGAGTAAATATGATACTCGATGCCATTTTAGTAGTTTGTACAAAAGAGTTTGCAATGTCATGCAAATTTTACTTGGAAATGTGTTGTTCAAACAGGACAAAACAGAAGAGCGCTAACTTGAGCTTCTTAGCTTCAGAGCCTGGGATCCTGTAAGCTATGATTGCTCTAAGTGTTTGCAGGTTACTTTATTTAGTAAACAGGTGGTGGCACTTTATGCCAATGCTTTCCTTGTTTTCTTATATAAAAGAGTATAGTGCATCTCTGGCAATATTGTTTCTTTAGTTTATTTATTCTCTCACCTCCAAGATGTAAACCTATCAAATACATTTCCTTAGGCAGTTTGTATCCTCAAGAGGATTCACTGAAAAGGCATTCGAGTATGATTAAAGACTTTTATGTGTAAAACTGAAGAATTTTAAAACAGTGAGGGTAAAGTTGCACTAAGTTTGGTTAAAAATCCCCTAGTGATTTTCTGTAACCTTTGGAAATAGCATGAGCCTTCTTTACAGCAACATTCACAAGGTTAATATTCCTAAATTAACATTTACTTTAAATTTATAGTGACAGCTGTCGTAAATTAAAATCTGCCAACTGTTTATGAAAACTATCTGAGTGATCAACAGCTATTATGTTACATAAAGTTTTTAGTCACATTTTCACTTCAGTTTTTGCTCAACATGGCAAAACCAAATTACACTGCTGTGCTGAATTTGAAAGTTAACTGTTGTTAATTCCATGATCACACACACACGCACACACACACACGCACACACACAGTAAAATCCTGATGCAAGAACTTAATACAGTGAAAAGAGCTCCATGTTCACGTTAGTTCATTTTAATGTTTTAGTCCTAAGTTTATTTGGGTAAAATATTTAACTATCATCACAATAGTCTATTTTATGCTAGATGAACCACCAAGAAACTCTAAGTGATAAGACCAGTTATCCTCCAGTCTGAAATTCTGATGAAACAGGAAAAGTCTAATGAGTCTCATTTCATATGTAATTAATTTTTCAGAGCCAATTAATTAAATTACTTTCACAACTTTCCTCCTGGTATTAGAAAGAGGGTAATTAGCATTGTTTGCTTAATTTTAAAACTTTGATAGCTGTTAAGTGGAGATTATTGAAAACCATACTAAATATTTTTTAAATGGGTCAGTAAGAATTTAATCTAAAAGACTTAACTGTTCTTTTTAGTCATGCCAAGAGAGGCATTTAAATTTTTGTTCTACTGACAATGTAAAAAAGCATGTTTACAATATTGCAGAGAATCAGTTTAGGTTGATTTTTTTCATTCATTTGTTTAAAAAGTCCTCTTTAAATCATAAAAGCAGTATTAATGTTCGCATTCAGATAAAGAAAATTAAGCTTTTAAAGTAATGACTGGAGAAGATGCCTCAAGAAATAGTGTGCTTAGAAACTCGATCACTTAGTTTAGATTTGGGAGTTTAAAAATTTTTAAATGACTGTGTATTCTGCTACTAGGTTCATTTCATCAAATACAGACTCTTCTCAGCACAAAACAAAAGGGAGAATTAGCAATTATCTGATTAATTTAGGCTTTGTAGAAAACTAGCTTGGGCAAGTCAAGTCCTTGAAAATCCACTTCAGTGTCTGAATTAATTCACTTAATTATTTCCTTCTTGTGTCTTCGTTGAAAAATGAAACAGATTGTATTTGATTTTAAAAGAAAGATGGCTATTGCTGAGTGTACAGGTACAATCTCAAAGAGCATTTCTGAATTAACTGCCACACGATGATCTTGATTGTGATGTGAGTCGATGTACTCCATAATGCTCCTACTGAACGAAACTCGAGTACGTTTTTCAAAGCACTTTCCTGTCTATTGCTTCAATGGCCGCTTTGTTCCTGCAAAAAGTCCAAGTCTTCAAAGGCTTTTATTTCTAGTCCGGGTTCTGTCACTGATTAGCTATGTGACCTTAAGAGAGTCACTGCACTCCTCAGTTTTCTCATGCGTGAATGAGGGAGGGATCAGATTATCTTTGAGAAATAAGCAGGGTGGAATTTTTATAGCCATTTTACAGATGTGGAAACTGAGACTAGAGAAAAGTAACTTGATTCTTTTAACTAAGGTCACATGGCTAGTTTTCCAAGTCCTGGTCTAATGTTCTTTCTGGGTCACCGTGCACAGTCTGTTTTCCAACAACTGTTGAAACAAGTGCACTGGGTGGCTGATCAGAGAACAGTGTTAGTTTGAAAGATAAAGATAGCCACTTCCTATGGCAGTACATTTTTTTCTTTCCATGATAGATATGTCAGTCAACTGGATTAGTCTGGTTATTTCCCAACTATTCCTTTGCTTCTGTATTTCTAAGCAGTCTAAACACATGACTGCTCACAGAATTTACCCTAACATTTAAAATAATTTTCACAAAAAATTTAATATATCACTGCAATGTAGAATTATATATATTTGTGTGTGTGTGTATATAAGTTTGTCATTATATAAGCACATCTTTGTGTGTTTCCAAGGAATTGACTTTTTTTAGAAGATATTAATGATGTCCATGAAAAGTTTAATAGTTAGAGGTTATTATTCCTCAAAGGAGATTATCAGTGGGATTTTGTGAGATTTCAGTTTGCAAGTTCAATATGGGTTTGTACATGATTTGTGTTCCATACTACATTTGATTATTTTAAGAATCCTTGGACATGTTTTAATTAACTCTGGGTTTTTTTTCTTGGAAAAAATAATATATTTCTTGTGAATAAATTTAATTTATTTATTGACTGTAAATTGTTCACATATACACTGCTCTCAAGGCCAAATAGCTGTCCCTTGTATTTTATCAACCTCATAAAGGTTTCATATGAAACTTTACAGATTATTACTTAGTAACATTTACTAATATTTATTAATTCACTAATTATTAATTAATTCACTAATATTTATTGAGTACTTGTGTGCCAGGCACTCTAACAATATTTATTTAAATACTATCTCATTTAAATTTACAACATTTAAGTTTGTCATGCCCATTATACAGATGAGGACTGTGAGTCTCAGGGGGTTAAATAACATGTGTAAGATCACAGAGTAATTAAGCGGCAGCACTAGAGTCTATCTGATTTCAAATCTTGGGTTCTTTTGTTCTAGGGCTAGGAGTTAATTCTATTATAAGAATTATATAGAGCTGAACTTGACTGTTAGCCAAAATTTTGGCTAAAAAATTGACTCTTTTTTTTTTCTTTCTTTCTTTCATTGATATATTTTGTGAGAGCTATTAGAAATTTTTGATGGAGTTTTCCATCAGTTGGCCTAGAATCTTCAGCGAAAAAGGACCTTAAGACATAATCCATTCTTCCTCTGCTTCAAGACTAGACTGAACTCAAGCATCCACCATTGCTTTGTGGTCAGGCTCCCAGTCCAAGGCACCCTGGAAAAGTTAATAATTTGGTGCCCCTCTAAAAAGTGACTCTTCAAAATTTTGTCAGCCCAGTTTAGAGGAACAGGCTATGAAAAGGAGGACAGAGGAGGCTCCCTGGTGGCTGTGCTGAATTTCTCCTCTACTGTCACAGCCGTTCAGCTTTGGCTCCAAAGTTGTCCCTCAAATCCACCCACTTGCTGAAGTCACCCCTCAGAAGTTACCAAGTCTCACGTCCTTAGGGTGAGAGGTAGTTTAACACTATCCATTGTGACTTAAATTTGCTCTTTGGTAAAAAGGGAGAGGGAGAGGGTGATGTGGTGGGGGTTTCGAGCGACTTGATCTAACCATTCCTTCCAACATAAGCCACACTGTCACTGAGAGGAGTTCTGGTAAGTACAGCGTTCTCCATCCTGCTAAATGTCTCCGATACTTTGGCAGCCCTATAGCCTAGCATCATGGGCCCAGTGAGCTGTATGCAGAGGAGTCCACCATATTCATCAGGAAAGAGAGGAGGAGAGTCAATGGCCTGTTTCTTCTCCCATTAAACTCATGAAAAGTCTGCCCAACAGGGATGTCATAAACTCACAAAGATCAGTGCAAGTACTACAACTTATAACAACTGTGCTCTATAAATGTCATGAGTCTGACATTATATAAACCAAATAAATAACCTCCTTGGCCTTTTCATGTATATTGGTTTATGCACTACTGGTATGGCAAAGATTATTAGGATTCAAGGAGCCTGGATTTTGATTCCAGCTTTATCATTAACTTGGTGTGTGACCTTGAGCAAGTCACTCATGTCTGGCCCTAACCCTACACTGATAGTATATAATTGGCAGCAATGGGTGTTGGGAATTACTTAAATACCTGGGTCTTCATTATTTTTTCCCTTATTTTCTTAACTATATTTGGCAAACTTTATTAATTTTTGAGATGCTCACTCCCATTTATTAATTCATTCGACAAATTTTTAATGAGTACCTACTATGTGCCAGGCCCCGTGAACTAACAGACAAAATTCAGTATTCTCATGTAGCTTGCATTCTACTTAATTTTCCCAAGGAAAAGTGATTTACACTAGAAATTACTAGAAAGTCAAACAATTTTCCATTAACTTTTCTTCCAGTGAGCTAGCTTATCGCTGAAACTATTTTTAAAAGAAGTTTGTTACTTCATTAGTTCAACTTTTTTGGGAAAATGTTCTAAACAAATACACTTTGTATCAGCTTAGATATTGCTAAACTAGCTTCAGGAAACTGACCCTTAACATAATCCTAAAAACAACACATCTACCAAGATCCTCATAATAATTTGGCTTTTCCAATAAAAATTTCAACCCATTAATGATACTCAGTGTTTTCAAGGGAGAAAAATGCTTGTAGCCCTAATTCTAACCACCAATTTCCTTCTGAATGAACTTAGGAATCATATAATTACTTT